CCCTAAGGCTATGAGCGAATCTTTTCTCTGGTGCTGTCATGTGGAGTGGCTTCCCATTGGAAGCATCTACTACCTATAGCACACACTACAGCCTATAGCTACTGCCGGTCTTCTAGCTCTAGAATATGGCGAGGAAAGCATTAAATATAATAAATTAACATAGTTTTGTCTTGACTGAAGCGTGGCATGATTTTGTTTTAATTGTTTATTTACATTGATAATACATGATTATGTTAATACGCTTCCGCCCTTAACTTAATAACCCATTGAATTATTCCATTTTCTTAATCGTTTTTAATTTAAAACGAAAGGAAATATAAAATCGTCGTAATGATAAGTTTTCTAGTGTATGGTTTTGATTTAATATATCATTATGCCATTATCATAATGAGGAAAATGAGTAGGAATATTTCTAATGGCAAAATTGGAGTTATTTACGAATCGTTGCAATTATTACTACAGCTTCTCTTAGGCTCTCCGGTTGGGTCCAATTCCATTTTACCTAGCGGTTAACTTCAATACCTAACGAATCTAACCTAATTTGTCGGCCAATTGGATGTGGGCCGTCACGTAGGTGGAGGCCTTGGTGAAGGCGGTTTTTATTTGCAAAGTACAAGCGATAGACACCTCTAATTTATTCAGGTTTCGGCATATATTCGCATCCGTGGTGCGTTGACGAATTTGGTATTGCTATGAATTAATTATGATTGTTTGTCACGTATCTTACCAAATGCGCGTAACGTCTACGCACCTTGTATGGAAAGTCCCTCAGGAAGTGTGATTGAACTTTGTCTGGATGTTAGAAATGGTAATTTGATTAACCGGAACACTAGCCTACTTCCGCTTGTCAAATCGGTGCTTGCAAATTTAATGATGTGATTTTAAATTATTATTTTATTTCATTATTAACATGGTTTTAGATACAAGAATACAAATGCAAGAGTTTTTGTATAATTACGATTTCACAAATAATTGAGTTATTGATACGTCGAAATGTTCTGATACACATTTTATTAAACAGTATTGAAATGAGGTTTATTTTCATCTATATATTTGTTTTTCACATATCTTCTACATAATAAAAATATACTTCTTAAAGATATTAGTTTAAAGTGTAATCTAATAAAATTAGCCACTCTTGTGAACTCAGCCAGAGTACAAAGCAATACTACCACCTCATTCGTTACATATTTGCGATATTTAGTTATACATCATTGGCAGTATATTTTTTACTTTGATATACAGAGAGTAAAGCGTATTAATTAGCGTAATATTGCCTGAATAAATTGATTATTACAAATTAAAACAGCTATACCATTTTATAAACCAGTTTTCGTCTGGGAAACGACGTTTAGGTCTTAGCTAAATGCAATTTCGCTCCCGTCGGTGCGATGAACTTGAAAGGAAATGACTTTAGATAAATCCTTAGCAGATATAAAGAGACTCTCCATAATTACGTCAGTACTGGTTTTTATTTTCTTTCTCCAGTCAAAGTCAAATATTCCGTTTTTCTTTTAATAATAAAAGATAAAAGATGATAAAAGATTTTGAAGCTTTGATTGGCAGTTATAGTTGATGTTGGAATGTGGGTAATATCAGTAATTTGTGATATTCTGGTTCAATTTTAAACTTATTCACAATTTTTGTAGTATCAATAACAACCATCAACACAGCACACGCTTCTAACAACTCTAAGCCACAGTCTCAAATACATGCGCACAATACACCCACACACCCACACATTCACACACTTAATGTCTTATAAGACTTGTGTTTGATTAGTTGTACTAAACCAAGTTTTTCTCAAAAAAGTGTTTTAAAAATGTACCATGTACCACGGAATAATTGTTATCTAGTTACCCACAAACGGGGCCTCCGTAGTGTGATGACTAGCGATAGATCAATTTTGTCATGAATAAAGTTTTTATTATTTATTAACTAAAAACAATAACTAACCTTAAAATATATTATTATTATTATTAAAAGGATAATTTAATTATTAAAATGTTCCGAAGATAATGGCAGCGTTCTCCCTTTGAATAGCTAGACTAAATCTTTGTCTGAGGTAGCTGCCAGCTCTTCGGTCTCCTGTGATGTCGACTTATCTTTTTGCTATTTCCTTAAAAAGCCTTATAGCGCTAGGACCCCACGGACCAAGGGTCTCGACACCGAATGGGACAAAATCATATTCGGAGCCTAAACTCAAACTCAAACTCAAACTCAAACTCAAACTCAAAATATCTTTATTCAAGTAGGTAACCAAGTACACTTTTGAATCGTCAAGTTAAATTAATCGTAAATTTACATTTACGATTAATTTAACTAAACCCCCTAAACCCCTGTATTTGCATGGTTTAGCTTTTTCAGCCGCATCACAAGCCGCACCAATCATAGACCAGCTCGTTTTTTTATTTATTATTATTTAATGTGACCTAATGTAGATTTTCCTCGACTACCGATTTCTAGTATTAGCTTTCAGCCATTGAAATTAGAAGAAATAGTGAATGACACCCATTTCCAGAAATACTACAGTTACTAGAAAACAATAATTTCTGAAGAAAGAGTTATATCTAAACGGTTTCTGTACGTGCATTTGAACTCAAATGCACTCTCTTAGAATATAAAGATTTATCTCCGTCGGGTATTGCTCCTGCGGTGTGAATATCCTCTATAAATGCTCGAATAGATATTAAAGTACTAGGAAGTTGACCCAGGACTAGAACCGGTATGAGCTTAGGGTTTAAAATTAGCTTTGTTCGCTGCACTTTCTTTGTGCTATGACTTTTTAAAGGTAAAATCACGTTTTTTGAAAGACGTATTAAACGATAATAGCCCGTTTTTTTCTATTCCTTTTTTGAAGAGATTGCTTAGTAGCGCCGCCTGTTAGACGATGTTTTTTTTAAGTGTATTTTTTTAATTGTACCTATGTGAAATAAAATGTGAATACATTAGATATAAGCTGTATGAACATACCTTCTATTTTCATATTTTTCCGTTACATGTTTTTTTTTTACATTTTTTTTTCGATTTAACAACACATATATTTATTAATATATATAAAATTACGTATTTGTATTTCTATATCTATTTTACTGTCTTTTATTTTTATTGTATAATTTCTTTTGTGTTTCGTTAGTGTTCCTTTTTTAAAATGAAACTGTGTATCTGTGGCTTTCAGTTTCTTTGACATTTAATCACCTACAGATAAAACGTATCATTTAAAAAAAGTTCTAAAATACAATGTAGTAGCGATGTAAACATGTTTGGACAATACGAAAGATTACATGTTATCGAGGACTGGCAAGTTATGGTTGCACCTAAAAGGTACCTAAATGGGTGAATCAGTGTTGTTCAAACCTGCACAGTGATGATTCACTGTATGATTACAGACGTGCTTATAATTGTAGAATTCTAAGTCCCCCGCACAGTGGCGAAATGATGATTAATGGAATGTTAATTAAGTTTCATTACTTTAAATGCTGCATCTATAGTGAGACCTGATGCTGGCGGTAATGGTGGGTAGGCTCTGTTGCTCTCTCATGGGTCATTGCAATGCATACGATTGAGTATACTTTAATATATAAGATTTAGGACAATATTGTATATAACTAATACATTAATGGACTTATGATTGTCTTCTAGAATAAAACAAATATTTAAAAATATAGGTAAGACAAATACAGTCGAGATTTCCACATTTGACACAACTTATTTAGTATATATTGTTTTATTATAGTTGAATACTAAATGTATGAAACAAAAGTTAAAATTAATAAGTAATTTAAATTAATTGTTTGCGATATATGTTAAGTAGCTATGATCACATGCTTTAGTAAATAAATAGCTATTTAATAAGTTTTAATGTTGTTTGTGACAAAATTTATCTAATGCTAGTCCCAATTAGCTTGTTGTACGTAACTGGATTACAATTATTCCGTAGTCGATGTTTCAAACATTTGTTTAAGAAATAATAGTCTTTTTGAACCAAAACGACTTAGTGTTCTTCAAAATAAGAGCGTACCAATTCATTAAAAGCCGGCAAAGTACTCGCGAGTTACATCTAATCAAACAAGTCTTATAAGACCTTAATAATTACATTGTTCTGTTTTTAATAATAAATTTGTGCAAGCAAAGTAGGTTATATTAATAAAAGCCCTTGGCATAATTGCCCATATTCACAATACCCCCAGATATTCTAATTTAACATAATGATTCACACGGCGCGTGTCAGCATATGGCTCTGACAGGACACGATTTAATTCGGCGCGTGCGCATAAAATGTCTATTTACGGATTGGTTACCGACGCGTCGGTTAACCTGTCCGTTTCAAATAGATCGTTCACCTTTATCTAATCAGTATCCGGACTAAATGAGTCAATATGGTTATAGCTTTTTGTTTTATCTCCTGAACCCTTGGATATCTGTTTTAGGTATTTTTGGGACCGTTTGACGTCAATCAGTAATGTGAACGTAACCTGTGATGTAAAACTATGAATGAATACAGACTACTTTATTCATTATTTAATTTGATATCATATTAATAATAAGCCCGTTTAGTTTCCAATCATTTCAATTAAATTGGTGTATATATTTTATATATATTTTATACATATTTTATACATATATATCCTAGCTTCCATCAGTACCCCGATAGGAAGGCCTCGTTCAGCTTTTTCCAATTATCTATCCCTGTCCATGCCTTTCTTTCTGCATTCGCTTCCTGCTACTGCTTCTATTTCTTCTATCCACAATTTTCTGTCTCACCCTCTTATTCTTCCCCTTGGTCCTTTCCATATGTTGTCTTTAAAGTCCACCTTTTATCTGTGCATCTTGCTTTATGGCCCGCCCATCGCCACTCTGTTTTCGGGCATAATGTAAGGCACCTAAAACTTGTTTTTCGTCTTACTTTTTCGCCTTTTTTTATGTATTTTTCTTATTTTTAGTACGATTTTTCCATTGATTTCTGGCATGGTAATAGTTTGGTTTTATTTTTTTGTTCTATGTCTATTTTATTTGATACAGAATTATATATATTAAACTTAGTGTCAATATTGGATTCCAAGTACCTTGTTCGAGGGAATACATATAATATAGATAACTCCTCTTTTCCAGCTATACGTCGAGGAACAGACAACCAGCCGGCTAAGAAACCACGCAGTGATGGCAGTGGGAATGAGAACGCCAGCAGTGGGAGGGATCACCTGGCCTATGGCTGTCTTCTCCGCAATGAGCTCCTGGGTGCACAGATCGAAGAGTTGAGGGGTCCTCCAGCACCCTGCTCAGATGGGAATAGAGCCGCGCTGGGTTCTGTCCAGTTGCCAGGGACCGCTCAGGCCTTTTCACCGCCAGTATTTAGGTTCAGAGCACAACCACATAACGCTGAGGTGAGTTTTTTTTTGGGTTATTATACTCTATGATCTATGATCGAGCTTGGTGTCAATCTTATTTATTTATTTACAATAGCATGCCAATCTTGGCACACTGATGGTACAAGAATAATAAAATACAATATTTAATGTGACAAGCACTTATATGCGAACTACAAACACTAAGGGATAAAAAAATATATTATAAAAACTAAAGGAAAATTCATTTCAAAGTGTGAAAGCAAATATGGATATCTAGATCTAGCTCGCACTTTGAGCCTAGAACCTATGGACGTTATTGCATGCCTGATTTTTTTTTAATTTATTTATTTATTCCACGTAATTATTCTATCTTAACAGTTACTACTAATTCGATAGAACGACACAATAATACCCACACCAATTATCCTACATAAAAAAACATTAAAATAATATATTTATATACTGATAACGAACAATATAGCAAGCAACTCTTGTGAACTCAGCCATTGTACAAACAAATAGGTCTACCTTAATAGAAATTTTATTTATTATTGGTATTGCTCGCTGATGCATTTATTGAAAGTCTTAAAGACTAAAGTGGATTCCATCAGTGGGTCTGCGAGATTTTTAGCCAGGTAGCAAGTTTAAATTTGCATTTTTTAGTTCTGCAATCCTATATCACACATTTTATTAGGGCCATGATACTCTAAATTGATATGCATTTATATGAAAAAGGAACGTTTTTTGGTAATTCGGTTCAGGTAGAGGTGACTAGCCTCCATTTAACGTGATTAGTAAACACATTGGCCATACGTTATCCCCTAATTACGGTTCTATATGAAATCGTAAGCGATTGAGACAAATTATGATAGGTTTACAATAAAATAAATAAAGAATATCAGCCATTTTTTGTCTTGTGAAATGTGTGTGCGGGACTGAAGACTAATTTGGTTGATTCGATATGGTATAAGAAATGTCTCATGCGAGATTTGAAAAACATTAGCATTAGTTTCGAATCGTCGACGACCAGTCACTTTCTGGACGGCTTGATCCCTTGGCGTTCCATATAGAGGTCTCTCTGCACCTCGGCGTCTGTCGTTCCAGGGTTGTAAATCCTTTGGGAGAGGAAATTGTGATTCACTTATTTAGACATACATAATTGTCACTTATTATTCTTCGTGGTTTATAAAAAAAATGCAGCGCTGGCTTCAGCGTGCGACTCTCATACCTGAGGTCGTAGGTTCGATCCCCGGCTGTGCACAAATGGACTTTATTTCTATGTGCGCATTTAACATTTGCTTGAACGGTGAAGGAAAACATCGTGAGGAAACCGACTTGTCTTAGACCCAAAAAGTCGACGGCGTGTTCAGGCACTGGAGGCTGATCACCTACTTGCCTATTAGATTTAAAAATGATCATGAAACAGATTCAGAAATCTGAGGTTGAAGTACCACTGATTTTATTTTTTATAAAAAGATATTTGTTTTAGTCAATTCTAATATTGTTAAAGGGGGTTTATTATTCACGAGTGCAACGCCGGTGCAAATAGTCGTACAACATATAAATCAAATCCTCCATAAAGTTTTAAGATGTTTTAAGATTTCAGTCGACGTAAAACAATTTGATTGCCAGTAAAATATAGTCGTAAACGCCATTTTGATAAATCAACGTGAGCAAAAAATTCGCATGCTTAATTAGCGTCTATCGGCGATTTAAAAAATTGCATTTAGCTGTATCTAATTGCATTGAACATTTACAATACTAGTATACGTTTCACACGTTATATCTATGTCTATAATCTATTTTTTATATGTGTTACATACCTAACATAAATTATATACAACAAAAAACAATTATACTAAACGTATAGTCTTACATACATTATATACAAAAATATTCAAACATTTACGAAAGGAAAAATCAGTAAAAAATTTCATACGTAATACCTAATTCGGCTGGGCTGTGTTATGCTCATGATGCAGGTGATTTAGCGCTATGGATATTCTTTATACTCCTTTTAAGCATATTCCGCGATAGCTTAAACAAGTAAGGCTTAAAGGTTTGTTTCACAATGTATGGATAAAGTACCAAATAGCTATGCAACACATAAATTATTTGGAAGATAAATTGTGCTATTTGACATTCATCGGACTCATAACTTATGATGTACTTTATGTAACGAATAGCGCTATCTGACAGTCGTGAAACGCAACGATAGTGTTTATCCTACCAATAAGTAATAAATAGCTAATTTGGAACTTATGTAGAACTTATCCGTACATTGTGAAACAGACCCTTAAATGGTTGTCGTTGTATGTCCGAGCTGCGCGATACAAAAATGAGTTTTTTGTATAGTTAGTGTTGATGTGAGGAGTCTAATTTCTTCTTGTTACCACTTGGAATTATCAAAATATTACAAACAATTCAACCGGTGATCATGCTTGAAAAGCGGCACATAAAACGTTGATTTAATAGTTTCTTTTTCAGTTATTTAGTTATTACAGTGATATAGTTGGCTTACTCGAAATATTATATTTGTAATTCATGTTAGTAAAAAAAATCAAGGGGGAGGGGAGTGTAAAACAAAAGACGGAACATGACATATGGTGTTGCGTGTCAACGCGCGTTGGATATGTTGAACAAAAGGCTCGTAGCCTAGCGGTCAAATTAGGTGTCCGCTAGGTGAGGGGTATCGGGTTCGATTCCCGGTATGAGTGCAAGTTTATTTCTATAAATTAAATTTTTTCTCTGCCTTTGGTAGCTACCGGGCGAGTGCTTAAACCGTACATGGAAAGTACAGTCGAATTTCTAAGACAGGCAGTGAGTATGCTATCTTGGATACTACTACTAGTACCGAGTATGGCAGTTGCAAGTGATTAGCATTTCGACATTCCTTTGTTCCATATACCCTAATGAACGAATAAACGAATTATGAACGAATATTCGGGACAATAAAGTTAAGAGCGGGCTAGCAAAATTTATGATTTCACCCGCGCGTCTTCCTCCGTCCGCTCTAGTGACTAGTGAAACAAACGTAAACCTGAAGTTCGCGTGAAATGAGACGGACGATACAGTGTTTCGCGGAGATAAAATTAAGTAAACGGCAAATGCTTTTTATTTCAATAACTAGTAAAATATACAATATTTAATAAAATCGCTACTAACAGCTCTCGGCCTAACTAATATGATGTAACTCAATTATTTTTTGGCTCCATAATACTCACCAAGATTGAATAGAAACGAAATCAGGCAAAAGTTTGTGAGTTTGTGGCAAGTAAATTAAAATTCTCATTGCATTGACCCTGCTATTTGACCCGGGTTTCAAAATGATAATCGGTCGTAATGACCCGAAAGTCGGTATAAATGTGTATTTATGATAAAATCACTATTGTGATCGTTTGCAAACCTTTTTAACGAAATGCCAATAGCCTTTTAGGTGCCAATGTTATTCCGTTATTAGTAAAAAATGAAGAAAAATGTTTTTTAATACGATCGAACAAAGTGATATTTGAACCTCGGTTTACAGTGTTGTAACATTAATTTGATATCGAAAACCTTTGATCTTTTTTATACAAGCATCTGCCAACCTTTGCTATATATTAATAAACATGTTTTTATTTTAAAGTAATTATTATATATATTATATTAAATACGGCGGCGATGAGAACTTGGAGAAACTGATCGTCGTTGGTAACACGGAAGGCAAAACATCACGTGGCCGTTCACCAACCACATGGATCGATCAAGTGAAAGACTGATCTTCCACAAACTATGCACTGTCATAAGAGGCACTGGGCAGAATCCAGTGGAAAGAGATACTTCCTTGCTGATCACGATGGTCAGACATGAGCTGCCAATTAAAGATAGATAGATAGATATAGATTTATAAATAGAAACTGCAAGCTATTCAAAATACTATTGCTATTACTAACTATTCATACTGAATAAAAACGAATCGTTGACAAGACGTTTTGTATGGAAATCGATCTAAATATTTTTTTTACGATTAAAGGCTTAATAAAAATTATTATTTTTCGTAGTTGTTATATATAGTTCATATTTATGCAGAAATTTAACTCAAAGTACTGTCTTGTTTTTTATGTAATTGAGGGAAACGGGCACCTCATGTGATACCTGCCACTCACATTGTTAGAGGGCTCGCAATTGCGATGTCGGCCTTTTAAGAATTGGCTCTTTTCTTGAAGGACCCTAAGTCGAATTGGTTCGGAAATAAGGTGGGCAGCTGGTTCAACATAGTGGTGGTGAAACAAAAAAACTTGACGATTAGAGTGGCGGAGAGTTTTTTGCCAGTTCTTCTCTTTCGTTCTACGCCCTTGATTTGAGAACTGGCAGTAAATGTAAAATTAGAAGCATTTAATGTATATTTTTGACGTTCATAAGTGTACATTGTGTTACCTACATGAATAAATGATTTTTGACTTGACTTTGCGCGGCAAAAACTTTACAATCACAAGAACTTGTAATTGTTTTGTGTAATACTTGGTAATTTGGTGGTCGTCAAAGACCTTAATTAATTTTAAAAAATCAGATACTTGTTGTTTGCGTAACAAAGACAATTACTAATGGTCTAAGATCCCGCTATACAACGACCTTCACCGAGATGCTTATTTAATGAAACTTATTTTATATATAATTTAATATGTCAATAAATATAATCCATATGGGTTGCCTAGCAAATTTCAGTCCAGAGTATGTTTAATTAATTTTAAAAAAAAAATATTTTTTAAACATTTCACCGGTATGATTATTAGATAAATTCTATACCAATCGAACGTATGAAGCCCATAGAATATGCAAACGTTAGGTTGTTTTTAATCAATTAATTATTTATGTGTATATTTTTTATGTGACACTAAAGTATATATACATCTTTAGTATAAAAGAAGGTTATAGTGATACATATATAATACTACCCTGGTTAAAAATATTGATTGAAAAAAGTTCAAAAAATTTACTACATGCAAATTATATAAAAAAAATTTTTTTTTAAATATTAATTAAACATACTCTGGACTGAAATTTGCTAGGCAACCCATATGGATTATATT